AGGGTAAAGTAAGTATGTGTTTTCAAGAAAAATCTCTGATCTAAATTTCTGTGTTGAACTGTCATTTAAGGGCTGGAGAGATGGCTCAGTGGTTGCTTTTCCACAGGACCTGTGTTTGAATCTTAGCACCCACATGGTTGCTCACAACCATCTGTAAGTCAAGTCCCAGGGGACACAATACCTTGTCTCACTTCACACATTTCACACATATAGCTTGCATGCAAGCAAAATACTCATGTATTTAAAACATTTAGCTGAGCAGTGGTGAACACCTTTAATCCCAGCAATCAGGAGGTAGAGACAGACCGGCCTGGTCTACATGGAGAAACCCTGTCTTGAAAAACAAAACTAAGAACAACAAATAGGTATCCTTTTTGTATTGTTAGTCATTCACTTAAAAGTTTTAAGCCAGCCTGAGTTGGTAGCCCACCTTGTAGTCCCAGCACTTCTGAGGCAGAAGCATTTGAGGCTAGCCTAAGCTAAATATTAAGATTCTGTCTCAAAAATAAATTTTAAATAAAGAGTAAATCTAATTGAAGCTTAGTAGTCTATTCCTGTGATCTGAGCTACTCAGGAATTTGAGGCAGGAGTATCAGGAATTCAGGGCAAGCCTAGGCAACTGAAAGTAAATGAGGACAGAGCTTAGTGGAGAGTGTTCACCTAATACACATGAGGCCCTAGGTTCAACCCCTAAGGACCCCCCCCCAAAAACACACACACACACACACACACACACACACACTCACACACGCACACACACACACACACATTTTCAGCACTATGGAAACTTGTCTTGTTAGTCTGTGACATCTGGTGATGTTTTTCTCAGAATCAGGCTACTGCCTGGCCCATGATAGCATTGTGGTAAGAATCGAATTCAGTCCCCAGGCCCGGGGTTACTGGCTTTGTTACTTCTTAAGCCTGTGTTCTTAGACAGGTGACTTTGTGACCTCAGCCTAGTATTCTCATCTGTGAACAGAGGTGATCAAAGGAGAGGCTTGGCTTCCTTTTTAAAAGTTTTTCATTCTTATTATTTCAAATTGTATGTCTATGTGGATATGTGCACTTGAGTGCAGATGCTTGTATAGGTCAGGGGTGTCAGATGCCCTCAGAGCCGAAGATACAGGTGTCAGTGGGCCTTGTGATGTGGGTGCTAGGAACTGAAGGTCCTGTGGAAGAATGGTATGTGTGCCTAACCACTAAGGTAGCATTTTTCTGTAGCTAGCCCTGGCTGTCCTGGAACTTACTCAGATTTACAGAGATCCACTTGCCTCTGCCTCCCACTTGCTGTCTTTAAAGCCATGCACCACACCTGCCCCACCAGGGCTTGACTTCTTAAAGTGTAATTACAGGCCTAACAGTGTTTTTGCACAAGAGAATTTGAAAGAAAAGTAAACCTGAGATCTTGGCCAGTTCTGGGGCGGGGCCTGCAGTCCGCCAGTCAGGGATTCAAGCCGGTAGTATAGAGTGGGAGGACACTGAGCCCTTTCCCCTGGAGACATGGGAGGAGGAGGCCTATGGACTCTTTCTGCAGTGGCCAGCAGTCTCTTGAACATAGGTCATCCTATTAGGGTCTGTGGACCGCCATTTGTGGAGTCAGCGTTCTATTGGGAAGTTACCCTGTCCTACTTAGTTTTCTATTGCTATGATAAAACATCATGACCAAAGGAACTTTGTGGGAGGAGATGATTAATTTCATCTTAGACCTTGTATTTTATTATGAAGTTAGGGTAGGAACTCAAAGCAGGGACTAAAGTAGAGACCGTGAAAGTACACTGCTAACTGGCTTGTTCTCCATGGCTTGCTCTGCTTGCATTTGTCATACCACCCAGATGTGCTTGCCGAGGTGGAATTGCCCACGGTGACCTGTGTGACCCCACATCAATTGTTAATAAAAAACATGCCCCCACAGACTTGCCTGCAGGCCATTCTGATTGCGGCCATTCTTCAGTTGACATTTTTCTCTTCGAAGAGGATTCTGGCATGTGTCAAACTGACAAAAATAAAAATAAGAAAAAAAAAAAAAAAAAAAACCTAACAAGCACATACCTCCAGAGAATTTCAAGTAGAGGAGAGATATTATCCCTTTTGTGTTTAAGAATGGTTCCTTGATACCAGAAAGTAGATCAGGCATAGTAGCATTCAGTAGGTAGAGGCAGGAGAATTGCTGCTAATTTGGGGCCAACTAGGTCTGTAGGGAGTTCAGGCCAGCCAGTTACATAGCAAGAGTGTAGGAGGGTGTTTGTGGTCAAATCTGGTTCCTGGTGGAGAAGGAACAAGAGGAGTTCAAGTGAGGCTGTTGTTGAGCCAGAACAGTGACCTCACTAGTCATGGGAGGGTGGAGGGGTGTTGTTTATTGGATTCTGGGTGAAAATACTGAGCATCCTACTAGGGACAGAGCAGTGAGCAAAAAGTCCCTGCTTTCTTGAACTGACACTTTTATGTATGGAGAAAAAGATCCCTAAGGAAAAATGTATACAGTGAATCAGATACTGGGGGTGGGGGTTAGGAGAGGAATGTTAAGACTTGAGCTCTCTTGGGAGGCTCCCTGAGGTGATAGGAGCAATGGTCAGAGGTTGGGTGCTGTGGGTGTTGGGAAGGGCTAGTCATGTGGCGCGAGGTGGGGGGGGGGAGGCTGTCACATGCCGGGAGCAGGTGTGGGGCTGATAACAAGGGTAGAGGGCAGTGGCAGAGCTCAGAGCTCTGGGGTAGGGTCTGGGGATATGAGGGGCTTGGAATGCTAAATTCTTTGTTTGCCCAGGGCAAACAGAGAGCCGAGGTCGGCTGCAGGGGGTGGCAGAACTTCGCCTGGCAGGCCTGGAACTCACCGATGCCTCCCTGAGGCTCCTACTGCGCCACGCTCCCCAGCTCAGTGCCCTGGACTTGAGTCACTGCGCCCATGTTGGGGACCCAAGTGTCCACCTCCTCACAGCTCCCACTTCCCCTCTCCGAGAGACACTGGTGCACCTCAATCTCGCTGGTAAGTGTGATCCCTCATCTGCCTTGCTTGCCTGGTGATGCGAGTTCCCTGTCTACTGCCTACCACCCACTTACCTATCTAGTCTAAGCTGCTACTGCCTCATCCTCAGGATGCCACCGGCTCACGGACCACTGCCTTCCACTGTTCCGTCGCTGCCCACGTCTTCGCCGCCTGGACCTACGCTCCTGCCGCCAGCTCTCACCTGAAGCTTGTGCCCGGTTGGCAGCTGCTGGGCCACCTGGCCCCTTCCGCTGCCCAGAGGAGAAACTACTTCTCAAGGACAGCTAGTTGGGTGCCTATGCCCCCTTCCCCCAGGACTCTAACAAGAGCGCCTGTACCTCTCGCCTTCATTTCACCCCATAGGAGGCCAGGTTGCTTTTCTTCATGACTTGGCACTCCTCTAAGTTTAATGACTTGAGATTCCTGCCCAGTGACGTGAGCCAGCCTTCCCCTTCCCCGTCTCCCACCTGCACTGATATCTCTGGGGGTCTTTGCTTCCCATCTCTCCCTTCCATCCCCTTGGGAGTGGGTCTAGAGGTACTGGGGAGGTGCTGAGCCAGAGGGATGGAGGAGGGGTGGTGAAGGTGCCAGTCTCAAGTAGGGAAGAGGGGAAATGGTGTCTTGTACACAGGGTACTGGGAGTGGTGAAGGATGGGTGTGGGGAGGGCAGAGAGCAGACCAACAAGGGTTCAGGGAACAAAAACCAGTTGGGTGGGGTGGGGGCCCACAAAGGGATCCAGGTATCAGATAGGGGGCTCTAGAAGCCAAGAAATGCCAGGACTGGGGGCTGGGAGAGGAGCAGATGGCGACAATACTCTCTGGGGTGATCCCTCGCCCCTTCCTTCCACCCAGATTTCAGTTCTCTCCCCCACCCAGACTCCGTGCACGTCACTGAAAATGGCAGCTATTGCAAGGAGTAGGGCCACGGGTCTACCCGTTGTTCAGCTCGTGGTCCAGGGGAGTGGTGAGGGGTAGCTCAGACCCCTGCCTGGCTCTCTACACAATACTTGAACATTCATCTGTACTGAAGTGTTACTTGAACCGGGGGCACCTCGGACCTGGGGGATTGTGGTGTGAGGGGACCGGCTTGACCAAGACTGGGCTAGTGGGTACCCAGTTTGGACTGTCCCACCCCAGCTCTCTCATGTTAATGTCTTGAACAGCTGGCTCCACCCCTCTGACCTGAGTTGGGGGTGGGGGATGTCAGCTTAAAGATGGGCAAGATGGGACTTCTCCAGTTTGGCTCTTCCCATTCTTTCATCGTCATGGAAACGTGTGTCCCATTTGCCCAGGGAACTGCCACTCTTGGTTGCCATGGAAATAGCAGCCAATGGACACCTCCGGAAATCAGTGCTAAGACTGGAAACGGTCCCTCTTAGTTGCTGTGGGAACTTAGTAACAGACTCTTGGCACCTCCCCTCTCCCCACTCCTGTCCTTCTTTCAGTGTGGGGGTGGGGTCTCGAACCTGAGGGAGGAGTCGGGTCCAGGTCTCACTCAACTTAGGCCAGGGGGAACTGGATTGTACCACATGGGGGTGGGGGGAGGGGAATCTATCCACATACCTCAGGTAACAGGAAGGTGCGCGGGTTGGGGGCGGGGGCTGGGCGGACCAAAGGCAAGGAGGGAGGGGGGCTGGGGTTGGAGAAAGGTTTGATGATGGGGCAGCTTGAGGGAGGGGCGGAGTCACCCCGGCCAGGGGCAAGTGGGGTACCCAGCCGGGCTGGGCCCCTTAAGCCCCCAAGTCTGTACAATATCGGTTTGCTATAAAACTCAGAATCTTCTAGCCGGGGCCGCTGACTTCCTGTGTCTGTCTGCGGTGTTGAGTCTGAGTGGTGGGTAAGGATGGCGGAAGGGACTCCTGTGGTTAATTTGGGGAGAATGGGGTCGCTTTCCCTGATATCACTGTTCAAGGAGGAATGTGGGAGTTTGGACACCTGGGAATGTCCAGGTGTGCTTTGGGTGGTCTGAAGCTGACAAATTCCCACACACGCTGTGGGCTCGAAGCCTGGGATATTTTGGTGGCTTGAGTCGTGGGGGTTCCCTTGGGATCTCTGCCCACGGGCCAGACTGCTGGGGTTCGGTCTCCCGGCTCCACCCAATCATGTGGTCGCGGGGCTCCGCCCCTGCCCCAGTTCCTGTTTCAGCCCCTGGGCCTTATAGACGTCCTGTTCTGCTCCCGTTGGGGCTGCTGTGCCGCCAGACATGGGGTCCCGGCAGCGCTTGCACCAGCCCTTGGGGTCCCAAGGCGCCTCGGCCCCTCCGTGACCGTCAGCGCTGGTGGTGTAGCCGCTCTCAAGATGAAGGGCGGCGAGGGGGACACGGGCGAACAGGCTCCGTTGAACCCGGAGGTGGACAGCCCTGCGGGCTCAGCCACGTACCGGGAGTTCGTGCACCGCGGCTACCTGGACCTTATGGGGGCCAGTCAGCACTCTCTGCGTGCGCTCAGCTGGCGCCGCCTCTACCTCAGCCGGGCTAAGCTCAAAGCCTCCAGCCGCACGTCTGCTCTCCTGTCGGGCTTCGCCATGGTGAGGGGCGGGAAGGGGCACACAGGGTGGGTGAAGCACGTGGTGGGCTCGGGGTCGAGAAGGCGAGAAAAGAAAATGGGTCCCAAAGGAGTGCAGAACTAAATAAAAGGGCTCCTTTAGGGTAACGGAAGGAACGGAATCCCAAGGGACTGGGAAAGCCCTCTGTGTCGGGGACAGGGTTGTGGCAGGCACGGCCCTGAGAATACAAACAGGCCAAGGAAGATCGGTCCCAGGAATGCCGTGGCAGAAGGGAATGAAGAGGTCAGCATGGGCAAACTGGCTGGGAAAAGTGTTCTCACCGAAATGGCTTAGTTACCAAGTCCTCCAGAGAGTAGAAAGGCAAGTCGAGCTGAGCGAAAGCCGTTATCAACCAGGTCAGGGGAAGAGGGGTAGGGTATGGAAGTCACTCAAATGAAAGGCCGGCCCTCAAGAAGATGCCCCACCTCAGAAGGCACAAAGAATGCTAGAATTGCCCCCAAAAGTAAGAAGCTGCAGGAGAAGGAAGCTGATCAGAGAGCTGAGCGAGTCTGATAAACTGCAGGTGTGGAAGGGTAAAACCAGCTAACGGTCCCAGCAGTGGCCGCAGGAAGTGGAACTGAAGATTCCAGAGTGCAGTCCACAGATGTGACCGGGTTCCTCCATACTGACAGACAGCTGTGTGACCCTGAGCCAGCCCCTCCACTCCCGTTACTATCAGTAGGAAGTTGGGAGATCATAGAAGGTGCTGGTTTTGTGGTTTGGCAAGCTTTTGTCCAGGGGGAGCTGGGAGTGTTATGGAGACCCCAGGAACTAGGTGTGTCAGGACAAGCTCCTCTTACTTACCAAAGGAGCCTCAGACAGTGTGCTAAGTAGCCTGGGTGGAAGCTGTTTTGTTGAGGGCACTCAGCAGGGGACGGGTGTGGAGTGAACCTCTGCTAGATTAAGTTTTCTCCACACAATTGGAGGGGGAGGAGAAAGCAGGCCTGGAGGGAGGGCACCCTTCAGAACGTACCCTTGTGAAAGTAGACATTGGAGGGAGCTAAGGTGAGGCCATATAAGTAAAGTAACTTGGCTTAATATGTCATTTTGTTCTGCAACCTCGATAACTGAATGGGAAAATCCAACCCTAATGGTTGTTCTTGGTCTGTGGGGTTTACAAGGGGCCAGATTCCCCAGAGCAACCCACTGATGAGGATGACATCTGGTGCAAGGAATCGGCTCCCCATCATCACCAAAAAGAGACAGGCACAGTAACTCCAGTAACTCTGGTTTGAGGGAGCCCAGGCCTATGGTCCTGCTTCTAAAGAATAGCTGGGTGTGCAGAACTTGCGGTTCATTGGGATGGCAGCGTGAGAGTTAGGACCCTCCCGAGGAGCCGGGACTTCAAGTCCTGACAAGAAAAGGCTGGGTCAGACCCTTCGAGAAACCAGAACCAAGGCTGGCCCAGATCCCTGTTTGTGAAAACACCTGCCTACTCTGCCATGGCCCAATTTCCCAAAATACTCAATTTTATTTTCTTATCACCCCTACTATCCTGCACCTTCCTTTCTAGCCCTGGCACAATCTCCAGGATCCTTAAGAAACAGAAATTAGAGGAAATCATCTTAAACCCAGGTGGCCTGAATTATATTCAAAGGCTGTGGAGATAGCCTAGTTGGTAGAGTGGTTACCTCCCACTGAGGATACCCTAGGTTCAGTCTCCAACATAAACCGGATGCAATGGAGTACACCTATAACCCCAGCACTTGAGGTAGAAAGAAATAAACCAAGGTTGTCCTTGGCTATACAGAGTTCCTATGCTAGCCTGGGCTCATGAACTCCTATCTCAACAAACAGGCAACACTCTGTAGCAGGTACAGTGCTGGTGGAATAGGGGTGTCTATAGATTGTCTGTTTTCCAGATGAGACAACAAGGTCTGAGATGCTGAGGTGCAGTAAGCTAGAGGCAAGATTTTGACTTCAGCAGCCTGGCTTTAGAGCCCAAATATGTACATCAACTCAAATGTTTGCAAAGTCCGGCTGGCTGGGCGGAGTCATGTGGTCAAGAACTCCCTGACCTGTCAAAAAGGAATAGCTACAATTCAGTTTGTATAGTTGCCCTATCTGAGTGTGAACCTGGTGTGGCTGCATCCGCCAAGTTTTCAGATTAATTTGGAAACATGAAGCTTCTTAAATTTTAAGCGTTGGCAACTACTTTTTTTTTTTTTTTTTTTTTTTTAAATGTGCTTTGGAAGTTAGCTTCATACTCTAATAGTGTTTAGTCTGTGGTGCTTGGCTCTATTCATAACAGTATGTACTATCTAACTTAACATTCTCAGTGAGTCTATTATCCCCATTTTTTTTTTTTTTCAGGTAGGAAGTTGAGGGAGGCATTTGCTCAGAGATTACACAGCTGGCCAAGGTAGCACATAACTGTAATCCTACTCAGGACATTGAAGCAGGAGGCAAGTCTGGACTAATGGCCTGTTGGAGGTGGGGGGATTATAGATTGTAGAGCTAAGAATGGATCCAAGCAGCCCCGAGGTTTTTTGTTTGCTTGCTTTGGGCTTTTGTGACTCTAAACTCAGAAAGCCACCTGCCTCTGCCTCCCAAGTGATTATATATATATATATATATATATATATATATATATATATATATATGAATGATATGGGCTCTGTGTAGCCCTAGCTGCCCTGGTACTCTCTAGTTCTGGGATCAAAGGCACTTTTGGGTTCTTTTGAGAGGTTTCAATATGTAGCACTTGCTGTTCTCAAGCCTGAGCCCCTCCTGTTTCAGTTTCCCACATGGTGAGATAATAAGCATGTGCTACCACACCAGCATGAGTCTGGTTTGTGTGTGTGTTGGGGGGTTGTTGAACCTAGAGTCTTGTGAATGCTAAACGAGAGCTCCAACACTGAACTGAACTGCGTCCCAAGCCCCTGGGTCTTTTTGCCTGCATGCACCATGTGACCATGTGCATGTAGGGTGCAATGAGTCACCTGGAACTGGAGTTATAGACAATTCTGAGTTATCATGTTCCTGCTGGGAATTGAACCCAGGTCCTCTAGAGGAACAAGCAGTGCTCTTAACTGATAAGTCATCTCTCCATCCCAAGTCTGTGCTTCTTTAATGCTATGTTATAACCAGGTAAAAACTCAGGAAAATGTTAGTGCGGTGGAGAAATCAAGGTACAGCAGAGCCTTTTAAGACTATGAGTAACTGCAAGGCATGGTGGCTTAGCCTGGCACCTGGGAAAGCTGAGACAGGAGGGATCACAAGTTTCAGTCCAGCCTGGGCTGTCTAGCAAATTATAAAAGTAAAATGCAGATGGTGGTGGTGGTATATGCCTTTAATCTCAACACTTGGAAGGCAGACACAGGTGGACCTCTTGGTCTACAGAGTGAGTTCCAGGACAGCCAGGGATACACAGAAAACCCTGTCTTGAAAAACCGAAAAATGAAATAAACAAAGCCCCCATAAGACCCTACCTAAAGGAAGGGAATGGGACGGGCAGGGAGCGGAGTGTCTTTTTCTAGGCACTGTTCTAAGTTTTAGGGACGTAGCAATGCTGATGCTAAACATGGAAAACAAAACACCTGACAAAGATACAGTAGGGACTCAAGTGTTTTCTCTTTGCCCACAGGTGGCCATGGTGGAGGTACAGCTGGAGAGTGACCATGACTACCCACCAGGCCTGCTAGTGGCCTTCAGTGCCTGCACCACGGTGTTAGTAGCCGTGCACCTCTTTGCTCTCATGGTCTCCACATGTCTGCTGCCCCATATTGAGGCCGTGAGCAACATCCACAATCTCAACTCTGTCCACCAGTCACCACACCAACGACTTCACCGGTACGTGGAGCTGGCCTGGGGCTTCTCCACTGCCCTGGGCACCTTTCTCTTCCTGGCCGAAGTTGTTCTGGTGGGCTGGGTCAAGTTTGTGCCCATCGGGGTACCCATGGACAAACAAGCTGCTGTGGTGCCTGTGCCCCAGGTGCCACCGGTGACCGTCTCCCTCAGTTTAGCTTCCAACCTCACGCCATCCTCTGCTTCCATTGGCACATCACAGCAGCCTTCCAAAGCCTGTCCACCCCGGCAAGTGTGTGGTAGTGCCCATGGGCCTGGTTGGCAGGCAGCTATGGCCTCCACAGCAATCATGGTACCTGTGGGACTTGTGTTTATGGCCTTTGCCCTACATTTCTACCGATCTTTGGTGGCACACAAAACAGACCGCCACAAGCAGGAGCTGGAGGAACTCAGTCGCCTGCAGGGGGAGCTGCAGGCTGTGTGAACCTGGCTTTAGACTCTTGCAAACATTGACTCCTTGTCTGCAAGAGATGCCAGTGAGCTATAATCCTTATTCCTTGCCCCAGATTGGAGCCACCTCATGTAAGCTACTCTCAGGTAGAGGCCAGATTCCTGCTGAGTCCCACACTCCCAGGGATGTTCCCTGTCATCATGGCCCAGTGGGTTCTGTAACTTCAGTCTGCTTGGCTGGAGGAACAAGAGAGGAAGTAGAACGGTCTCAGTCTAGAAGGCCTTAGCGGGGTCTTCAGTGGTGCTGAGCAGTTGCTTGCTCCTCTACCGGAAAGTGACATGCCTGCACCACTGTCCTCCAAGGCAGTCAACCCTTGCTTTTTAGGAGAGATTTCTACCTGGGATCCCCATTCCTGATGTGGCTGCTATAGAGGAGCTGGTTGTTTGTTCCTAGGATGAACCATTTCCCACTTGGTGACTTGTGGTTGGGCCTGCCACACTGCCCTCGGCTTATCTGCCTGTCACCCACTTTGGTCATAGCTGGGGAAGGGGAATCTTTGAAGACTGAATGAAGATTGTGCTGTTAGCTTGACTCCTTGACAAGGGTTGGGTGAGTTTGTAAGGGAGAAAATTCAACAGAGCTCTCCAGACATTGAATTTTTGACGCACCTTGTTTTGTTAATAAATTATGTCTCACATATGCTCCTGTGACTGAATGGGGTGAAGGGGAAACCTTGGGTAAGGTTACTTGTTCCTAAGGGCCAGGTGGAGGTAATGGGCCTCATGTGGGGTATAATTCCATCAGGGGCTGACAGGGCTGAACTTAATGTGTTAACCAAGGCCTCTGAACTCTTCATCTTACACTTGGGGTTTCATGAAAGTTTCTTCCTGAGTGATCACTTCATCCTATAGGTCTATTCATAGGTTCTCTCACTTAGTCCTCAGAGCCATCTCAATACACAAGTGTCTTTTCCATCTCAGAGAGACAGCCGAGGCCAGGAAGGCTGATGATCTTGCCCACAGCCACAGTCTGTGAGCGCGATTCCCATGGTATAGGGATTTGTGAAAAGAAAGACTTGGTACCCTTCAACTGAGACAAAAGAAAGGAACATATTTTCGTTTTCTCAGCCACACCGTTGTGAGGGTTGCAGTAAGTCTTTTGTGACCAATAGCCAGCCATCCTTGGAGGGACACCCTGAAACTAATGAGGGGCTGTTGTAGAGGAGCCACGTAAGGAGGGAATCCTGGGCTCAGGAAGACCGGGTGGGAATGCCAGTAGTTCACGGGATGAAAAGGGTCTTCAGCTTTTGCGCAATCTCAGCTCCAGGCTTCAGTGAGCACATGGAGCCCTAACCTAGGAGCTGCCTATGGATATCTGGATTACTATCAGACCTTAATCCTTCATAGGACCCACTTAAAGGTCTTTAGGCCTCTCTTTAACGTACCAGAATGAACCCTGAGACAGCTTCAACTCTAGGTACGCCTCCCTTGGGACTGTTGGATATAATTCAGTTTCCCGGTTAGTCAAACGGACATTTAAAACAGATCCAAGGGATGTGTAACTAGGGTGCCTAGCATGCAAGAAGCCCTAAGTTAGGTCCCCTGCATCCTATAAACCGTTTATGGTGGCGCACCTGTAACCCCAGCCCTCAGGAGACAGGCAAAAAGATCAAGAGTTCGAGGTCATCCTTTGGTGCATAGCAAGTTCGATGTTTTCCTGTCTGAAAATCAACAGGGGCCCGAGTAGAACAGCGGGAAGAAACCGATCACTGCATTAGGTGCCCGGGAAGGCAAAGTGCCTGAGTCACCGCTCCAGGTTGTGTTTTTCCGCCTCCCATCCCGCCCAGGTTTTGCTGGATTCTAAGGGAAGCTGCCCGTTACGCCGAGCTCCGCACGCCTGGCCACGCCTCTCTGCGCGGCGCGTTGGCCCCGCCCACAACAGGATCCGCAGATTCGCTACCCGACTGTTTAGGATTATTTGGGCACCTTCCCTTGCCTGAATTTTTTCATGAAACTCTAAGAAGACCTTTTCCCTGTAAGCGTTTCGCCCTGAGTCGGAAGTGGGCCGCTACTCGAGTTGTGCTAGAAGGAAAGAACCAGGAATAGCGGTCGACACTGCCAACAGGGCTTGGCTACCCGGGCGTCATCTTCTCGACTCCACCGCAGGTGAGAGGAGGTGACGGCCAATGCCCAGAACGGTGGCGAATCTGCACTGCAGCCTCATAGGCATTCTAGCTGCGCAAGGAAGGGGCAGGGAAGAGGAGCAAAGGAGCGCGCATCCTGTCCACTCATTTGCCCCGCCCGCCTCGCGAATCTGCGTCGTTCGACGCACCACTCAAATCTCCCGAGCTCCGGCTGGCCTCCTCCCCCTCGCTCCGCCCCCCTTTCCTCAGGGGCTTGTCGCAGCTTTCGTCGCCGCCGATTCGTCACGAACCCCAAGGCCGGAGCAGCTGGATCAGGGTGGTGCAGTCCACTCTCCGGGGGATGCGGCCAATCTCCAGGCTCCCTGGGCTACAACTCCCGAGCCTTACAGGGCGCCGCCCGAGGCAAGGCCGCTACGCCCGGCCCCGTGGATCCGTCCGCAGTACTCGGCGCGAAAGTGCGAATGCAGACGCTGTGCCCGCTGGGCCTCGTGCAGGTGGCGGTGGTGTTTGGTGCGCGCGCCGGGGAGGTGGTGGTGGGGGGGCGCCGCCGCCGCCACCGCTGCGGGGCCGGGTCTCGCGCTGCCGCCGCCGCCGCCGCCGCCTCACGCCGCTGAGGTGCTGCGCGCGGTGGGGGGAGGGTGAGCCGCTCGCCACGAGCGGGTGAGTAGGGCCCTGGCGCGCGTGCGCGGAGCCGGGGTGGGGGGGCACCGAACGCGCCCGGGCGGGAGGAGAGGGCAGCGGCGCGCGTTACCCGCCCCCCCCCCCCCTGGATTCAGGGACCGAAGCTGGGTCTCAGGCTTGGTCTCGCGGTGTTTCCAACGCCCCGAAGAAGTGCCACCTCTGGTCCAGAGGACTGGGGCGCGGGGACGCGAGCGGCTGTGTGGGAGCGGGAGCGGGAGCGGGGCTTGGCCCGGGCCGCTGGCCGGTGAGGAGGCGGGAGGGGGCGGGGCCTGCGAGGGGACGGGGGAGGGGTCTTGCGTGGAGGCCAAGTGGGGCGCGCTAGGGAGAGCGGGAAGGTAAGGGGGCGCGAGATGGGCCTGGGCCCTGAGGGTAGAATTGGGGGTGGAGGGGAATGGAGTGTTACAGTGAACCTGGGTCCTCAGGGCAGCATCTGAGGGAGCCATGGGCCATGCTGAGGTGTGGAAACCGGACTGTTGTGAGAACCTGGAATCTGGGCAAGCCATTGAGGGGACAGCAACGGAGTCAGGCCTAAGCCTTGGACCCCCATTGCGGATCCCTCTTTTCCTGACAGTGTAAATGAGCAAGGATGGACCAGGAAGGTGGGGGAGACGGGCAGAAAGCCCCGAGCTTCCAGTGGCGGAACTACAAGCTCATAGTGGACCCTGCTCTGGACCCTGCCTTGCGTAGGCCTTCTCAAAAGGTGTACCGCTATGATGGAGTCCACTTCAGTGTCAGTGTGAGTGCACCAGAGCTCTTCTTGCCTTCCTTGGACCCCCAGTCTCCTCTCCCCCCATCCTCCTGTTCGGTATTCAACACTACATCTCCTGTCCCTGTAGCTTGGCTTTTTGAGAATGAGCAAGTTATGCTAGCTCTTCTGTATGTGGCTTCATAGAGAGTAGCCTGCTAACTTTTCATGCTGATTTCATCTCTTTCTGTTTACTAGGACTCAAAGTATACTCCAGTGGAAGACCTCCAAGACCCCCGCTGCCATGTCAGGTCCAAAAACAGAGACTTTTCTCTCCCAGTTCCTAAGTTTAAGGTGAGTGTCTGCTTGTCTCCCAGCATGTTGGTTCTCAGAGTGTCAAGGATCTTAGCACCCTGGTCTTCACTTAGTCTCCTAAAGTGGCTAGTCCAGTGGGACACTGACAACCAGATCTCATTGCTATTGAGTCCGTGAGGCTGACATGTTTGGGACAGGAGGTATACTTGTAGAGCTGAGGTGTCTCTAGTAGAGGGACGAAGTATGGGTGGATGTTTGGAAACAGTGTGGCAGTGGGATGTCCTAGTTATTCATCAATTAGGGGGACTTCTAAGGCCACTGCCCACTTGGAGTTCTTTGTTCCTTACTGTCATTTGGGTATGTGCTCCAACTTGTTTGTAAGAGCAGCTCCATTTCCCACTTCAATGGGATATTCTTCAAGCTTTGGACTAAGCCTAGAAAACTGGTGGTTCTTCGTTTCCTTCCGCGTTTGTTTTTTTCCACTGATTCTTAAAGTAATTTATGGGGTGCTTTCGCCTCTTTCACTTTCCCTGAGCAGCCTCACTTAAGCTCTGTTCCCTGGATGTGTATTTCCCATACCTGCTTCCAGCTAGCACCTACCCAGACACTAAAGACTTAAACACTTTATCCTTTTTCTCAGACCTTTTCGTTTTCTCTACTGATTAACAGCAACACCGGGTACTCAGATGATTGAGCTGGAAGCCTAGGAGTCACCTGGTAGTTCTTTCTTTTTCATATCAATCTTTGTTTTTCATTGCCGTTTTCTTCATGCAGAGTCTTAGGTTTTACTTGGTTTTTCTGGCCCTTTCCTCAATTTTAGGTTATTTCTTGCTGTCGTTAGTCTCTGGCACTGTTGTTCTTACTTTACTTTTATTTTCTAAGTGTGTTTTTTCTTTTCCTGTTATTTGTTTGTTTGTTTGTTTGATATTTTTCATGACAGGACTACTCTGTGTATAGCCTTAGCTGTTCTGGATCTCACACTGTAGACTATCCTTGAATTCAGAGATGTGCTTGCCTCTGCCTCCTGAGTGCTTGGGATCACTGGCGAGTGCTAACACCCTAGGGGGCAAGTCTGGTTTTTTAAATTACATTGTTTTTCATGTTTGCCTGCCGTTGTGCACATGTAGAAATTAGAGCACAACTTGTTGGTTTTCACCAAGGGTTCCAAGGATCAAACTCAAGGTTGTCCAACGTGGTGGCAAGTGCCTAAATCCACTGAGCCATCTTGCTGGCATGCTAATGTTTTGAGGCATTGACATGTGATTGAGTTGGGCAGGCCTTGTCAGTTGCTTGACACCATACCTCTATTATATACAAACCAGACCCTGTTCAATGTTTAGAAAACATCAAGATGGATAAGTCCATGTCTTGAAAAATCCATTGTTTTGGTAAGCTTTGAGTTATCTACAAAGCCCAGTAAGAATGCCAGCATCTTTATAAATCTCTTCCTGATTCTTCTCTGTATGAAGAATCCTTTCCTTGGCTTGAAAGACACCTGTCTACACCTCTGTTACCACTGTGTCATGTTTAGATTGTGTGGGTGGCTTATCTTTTTTTTTTTTCCTCCTTTCTTTCTGAGGCATGGTCTCCCTAGGTAACCCAGGCTGGCCTTAAGCTGAGGATATGTATGTGTACATCAGCTCTCAAGTGCTAGTATTATAGGAGTGCATTCTTCACTTATTGCTGCCTTGTCTTTTCTGAGTGGGAATTTTTTTTTTTTTTCCTATGTGTTTCTTTTCTTTCTTTCCCCCTTGGTTTTTCAACACAGGATTTTTCTATGTGGTAGTTCTGATTGTCCTGGAACTTGCTTTGTAGACCATGTTATGATAAAGCTCGAGGGGGACCTTTGCAGATTCCATGTTGGGCAAAGTTGAC